AAAGATAAAGTTATTGTTGTTGTGTTTGATGAAAACAAAAAACATAAAAAATGCATTACATAAAGTATCTCTAGAAGGAAATATTTTGATCAAACATTGAATAAATGGGTATTATTGTTTTGTTTAAAAAAAAAAAGAATGGTGACATGTTTTTAAAAATGAAATGATACTATCAATATAACACAAAAACCGCCAGGTGGTGGAAAGTCACTGTGTTAATGAGTCAAACAGCTGATTCATTCAAGTAAGCATGCAGTGTAAGATGATGTATGGGTCTCATTATAAAATTAACATCTTTAAATCCATAATTGTACATTTCTCCTTTGTTTTTACATGGATTACATCATTTGCAATGCCTCTTGGGATTTTAGTCCTTATTTAATGTTTTGTACCTTTTTGTCCATTTTGTCCAACACTCTTTTTTGGCTTATGACTCTTTAATGAGGACTTTAAAAAAAATCTTTACTGGAAAAAAGAATCGGAAAAATACATCCATAACTAATGCTGCAAAAGTGTATAAAACAGGATAATTTCAGAGATAATAAAAAAAAACAATATGAAAATTCTGTAATTATTAATCATTATTTTCCATTATATGTATGTTCCAACACTTCATGACTTACCTTTTGTCAAAAGAAGTGTAGCTGAATATTGACCCAACTCTTTTCCTTAAAAACACTGACCACAGGCTTTCAATATAAACATTTTGAAAATAAAATCAATTTTCTATCAAATGAAAGCTTATGGTGACGAGGTACTCTGAAGTGCCAGAAAAAACCCCATTAAAGTTCCATAACAAGTTCATGCAACTCTATTTTACACCATAGTCCCCTAAAGCAGCTGTGTGTGAGAAACAGATCGAAATGTACAACCAGTCTGAGTACACCCTGCAATTATGCCATCTGAGGCTAATTTCAAAGATTATAAAATATATCTTTTATCCTAAGGCAAAATCAGCAGTTTTGGACGGCTGAGCGTGACATGCTCACTGATAGCTGATTAATTGCCTTTCTGATTAATTTTAGCCATTGATGTAGTTTAATGAAGAACCAAGCATGACAATTAATTACATGTGTGTATGAGAGATCACAATGAAAACAAAAAAAGAGTGAGAGAAGCACAGCTGAAAATGTTTTAGACTAGCTTAAAGAGATTGTACAACTTTTTTTAATTCTCATCATTTGTTCACCTGCCTGTTATTCCAAACCTGATTTTCTCTCTCCTGTGTAGATGCTGATGAAGAAAATGTCTCAGTGTTTATGTAGCTATATATAATGATAGTGGAGGACCGGTGTTGTTTGGACCATAATATTTTTTCCTTTGTGTTCCACAGAAGAAATAAAGTCATTCAGGTTTGGAACAATAACACTATTTATCATTCTCTTTGTGTTACGACTGTACTATCAAAATTACAGTGCATGGCCACTTTTGCACCCACACACTTAGTCAATACACTGACTTTGTCTTGTTTCCTTTCTTCTTTTAATTTCCAGGCAAAATCAGCTTTATTGCCAACATTACCACAGAGGGATTTGCGAAAATGTCGAAACAGATGTGGACTAGTAACTAAAAACTGAATTTAAAACAGTTTAAATAAGGAGGGAAAAGTATGCCTTTGCTTTTAGAAAATATATCTTTTTATTTGAAGACTTGGAATGTATTTATAGTTTTTTGTCCCTTTTTCTGAAACTTGAAAGCCTACAAGTCAGTGTTTGTTTTTGTAGTATGGAAAAGTGCAGCATTAAAGGGTTAGTTCACCCAAAAATGAAAATTCTGTCATTAATTACTCACGCACATGTTGTTTCAAACCCGTAAGACCTTTGTTCATCCTCGGAACACAAATAAGATATTTTTGATGAAATCCAAGAGCTCTCTGACCCTCCATAGACAGCAATGTATCTGATACATTCAAGGCTCAGAAAGGTAGTAAGGACATTGTTAAAATAGTCCATGTGCCATCAGTGGTTCAAATTTAATTTTATGAGAAAATAATACTTTTTGTGCACAAAGAAAACAGAAATATCGACTTTATTTAACAATTCTAATATACGTTTCTGGGCCTGGGAATGTTTCAGTTACATTGCTGTCTATGGAGGGTCAGAGAGCTCTCGTTTTTTGATTTCATCAAAAATATCTTAATTTGTGTTCCGAAGATGATCGAAGGTCTTACGGGTTTGGAACGAAATGAGAGTGAGTAATTAATGACAGAATTCTCATTTTGGGGTGAACTAAAGGGCCTTTCGCACCGCTACCAGTTGTGCTGGTTAGACCCTGCTCCGGAGTAGGAGCTAATTTGGTTCTCGAAAAAGGCAGTCCGGTACTAAAATCGCTCCCAGTTCCGGTGGTGCGAAAACGCCAAAAAGTGGGTAGTTCCACAGTTAGTTCTGGTACTATGAAAAGGTTCCCGCGGTGCGAAAGGCCCTTAACTCTAACCCTAAACGTTCTGCATTTCCCACAGAAGAAAGTCATATGGCTTTGAAGCACTGAGTAAATATTGACAATAATTAGTGTGAACTGAATATTTTAAGACACTTATAGTAATTACATGTCATTTGCAATTAATTGAAAATGTATTAAATCTAAATCAATGGAATTAGCAAAATTTTAGACTGCTCTTTGATCCACTTTAGCAGGACTTAAGAAGTATCCTTTATATGCAATTTCACTGTTACTTCTGTTGGCTTTGAAAAATACTGCAACCTGAAATGTAATACTGAAAATTGTATGTCATGTATTTAACAAGCGGCAACCTTCCGGTCTCTCTTGTGAAACCAACACGGAAGTGACTAAAACTGCAATTCATCCACTGGCCGCTAGAGGCTGGCTCCAAAAGGGAGTCAGTATAGACTCCCCATGTTAAAATGCCCGACTTTACAGCAGAAATAAATATGTTTACAGCCTGGTACAAAAAGTGGTTTTGGTCTATATAGCTAATTTTGCCCTTCATGACAACTGTGAGGGGGGTGAATTTTTTTATAACACATCCGTTTAAATTATATTAAGCCTTAAAGTTCTGCATAATTAAGGGCGTGGCCATTTGAGTGACAGGTGGATTGCCGCTGCTGTCACCACCGTCGAACTAGGTAGGCGTGGCCTCAGCAACCAGCTCCCGCCTCTTTGCCCATTTTCGATTATCCGGGAGAGACGCGCTGCCAAGATGGCGACGGCTGACTCCGCCTACTTTAGGCTTCAAAAACGCTCTTCGGAAACCTACGGGCAGTGTTGGGAAGGTTACTTTGGAAATGTAATACGTTACAGATTAGGCGACGGCCGGCTCCGCCCACTTTGAGCTTCAAAAACGCTCTTCAGAAACCTACGGGTGACGTCACGGACACTACGTCCATGTTTTTATACAGTCTATGGTATTTAAACATATTTGCAATTACACATTTGTAGTGATTCAATTCAATTCAAGTTTATTTGTATAACGCTTTTCACGATACAAATCGTTGCAAAGCAACTTTACAGCAAATTACGTTTCTACAATATTTAGTGGTAGCTTATCAGTGGTGACTGTCAGTTAATGTACATATGGCAGAAATGATCTGAAATGAAGTTGCAATTCAATACATTTTAAATATATTAACCTTAAATGTAGTTTTGAATAACATAGTTATATACTTTATAATGCATTTGCCTTGGTACAACAGTATATACTAGTATATCAGATAATCTAGATAATCTCCAAAATGGCGGAAGACAGTAACTCGGGGGAGAAGAATTATTGAATAAAGTCGTCAATTTTGTTTTCTTTGCGCACAAAAAGTATTCTCATAGCTTCGCAAAATTGAAGTTGAGCTACTGATGTCACATGGACTGTTTTACTGATGTCCTTTCTACGTTTCTGTGTCTGGGAACATTTCAGTTGCATTGCTGTCTATGCAGGGTCTGAGAGCTCTCAGATTCCATCAAAAATATCTTAATTTGTGTTCCGAAGATGAACGAAGGTCTTACGGGTTTGGAACGAAATGAGAGTGAGTAAATTAATGACAGAATTTTCATTTTGGGGTGAACTATCCCTTTAACTGTGAAACAGTCATGAAAGTTTACTCTCTTTGACGATGTAAGTGCACTTATATTTCATTAATATTATATTACTTGCAAGTACAGTTTTTTTTTTAAATATGCTTTAAAGATTTGAAGTACATTACAAGTGCACATTAAGCACAGTTAGGTGCACTTATTCACAAGGGTTTAATTTTTTCATGATTTCTCCCTTTAAAGACCAAATGATTTTAGATGACTTGTATTGTCTCGTCACGTGTGGAATTGGAATTTAATAGTATCCTAGAACAAAGTTGAAATTCGTAAGTGAAATGCATTTTATTTTAACAAATAAGGTTTTCGCCTGCACAGCAAGATTAAATGGATGTGATGACAGGTTTAGACCATATAGTATTTGAATCGGAGCTATTTGGCATGAAATGGAGAAACTCGACCCAGTAATTCATCTCACCCCAGCAAGTTTAGGCATCACCTGTCACATCTCACACTGATACTTTGGCATTTGAAAGATACAGAGACAAGAATCCTCTAAATCAATCACAAAGAGCTTAAGCAAGAACAAACACATGCTCTATGGCACTGAACCAACAGGGCAAATGGATTTTCTTAAGATGGCTGAGGTAATGAAAGGCAAACTTGTTTTACTACCAAGCTTTTCTCATTAAGCAATTAATATCTAATTTATAGGCTCAATTAAGCAGTTTTGTTGTTCAAAATAACAATCATGATTTTTATTTAATTTTGATTAATTTTGAATTGATTTATTAGTTGATATTACATGCTAGAATAGTAGTTCAGATGGGCTTAACACATGCACAAAAGAAAATGACATGACAATTTAAATGCACAACTGCAACACTTTATTATAAAAAAAAATGCATTAAATGTATATGTACTGCCCTCTTACCCACTCAATCACACACACACACACACACACACACACACACACACAAACATTTACATGTAGGCTATGCCGTTCACAGGTTATATTTGACTAAAACATAAACAAATATATATATATATATATATACATAAAGTGTAAAAAGATTCATTATGAAGCTTGGAGACAAAGAGAGCAAACATTCACAGTTCGTACATTCATATTGTTCTAATACAATGAACAGAAGCAGACCATGCAATACAGTTCCTTATGAACCTCTGCATGAAGATAGCAATTCATAGGTGTAGAAAATATGAATCAGCAGGATTGATAGTGGTAGAAACTACATACTGTTACATTAGTGTGTTGGTGATATAAACATATTTTGGTCTGCGGTGGCGTGGTCAAAGCTGCCTCTGAAACCCGCACACTACATATTGCCAGTGTTTTTCGCACTCATTTTCTGTATCATTTGTTGTATCCATGTTATTCTTGGATCAACACAGATCACCCTTGAATTCTTCAGCTTCAAGCTGTGTGGAAAACAGAAAAAGAAAATGAGAAAAGGACATCATAAATCTACAACCATGACTGTTTAATTGCTGGATGAGACGATCAAGTGTTGCTTTGAAAGCGATTGTGTTGATGTGTTTTATGTCGTACTCACACAACAGCAGGAATGTTACATCCTCCATCTGTTTCCTGCACTCTGTAACTCACGACATGCCTCCTGATGGTCTTCTTTACATTGGCATACTTCAAACAGCAGTTTTCATAGGAACCTGGGAATAAATCACAATTATATTTAGTCACTTGATTAAATTCATCAAGAAATTTGTAAGTAGAAAGACGAAAATAGTTTTTATGTAAACTCCAATAAGAAAATAATTTTTGTACTTTATCTTTTTATATAAAAAGTAGTAACCTGCACTCGTTACCCGATTTAACCCATAGGAATTAGTTTTGATTGTACAAATTAGTGTATTTAGGGTGAAACAGTGATTTTGGCTTGAATAAAATCAGTTAATTTAAATGCTTATGATTTTTTTCCAGTGTATTTATCTATGCATACTATATGCTTCTTCATATATTCATTATATCATACATTAAAAACAATCTAAAATCAAAACTGTACATTTTTAGAAATGTGCATATCTAAAGAAATTATATATTTAATATTACATCATTAATATCACATTATTAAGTAATCTCACTTAATTAACCAAATTCTTACCTTGTGCCACACTGGGATACATGCAAGCCAGCAGCAAGAGAAGAAACAGGACTTGAAACTTCATGGTTGAATGCTGTGTTTCCATGTAAGCTGCAAGAAAAGACAGGGAAATGTTCAGTGCAATTTTAATTTTATTAAGTGCATCCACTAACCAAAATCATGTGGCTCTAAAGTGCTGAATAATGGCTGTAGATTGCATGTCTCATCTGCACCTCAAGAGATTCTCAGAAGAATGAGGTTTTTCTTCACGGCTGAAGCTGCTCTTATCTCCTCCTCTGTTTCGCTTGTTTCACTTTTTATAGCAACAAAACCTGAGACTCTGCCACGCCCCCGTCACATTTTGCCTAGATTTTACATTCTGTTGCATTAGAAGATGTTAATATGAAAGTGGATCCTGTCGACTGACTTTATTGTTTTGACAAATCGCAGTTGACTTAAGAGTGCCTGCACGACAAACATAAACAGGAGCACTGAAGCGATATCTCTAATATCTCAAATTACAAACCTCTATATTTGGTCAGCAGTGAGATGTTTCAGCATGGGGGAAGGAACCGCTTTTTTTACAGCCCCCATTTCTCACCCCTGCTTAGTATTGTACAATACAACATCTTTGCCAAATCCCCCCCCAAACATCTGCTTTAGGACTTTTCATGGCCTGTGTGCCAATACAAACATATGAAATGCAATATTGCACAACAAGATTCCCCTAAATTGATCACACTTTTGAAAATGTCCAGCGCTACATGTGTGTGTTTATGTCACTGAATCTTTTTCCTCCCTCATGGATGTCTCAACTCTGATGACCATTTACTGTCTCGGCCTTGACCTGAATCTGACCTAAACTGCAGCATTTTGGCTGCGTCTTTCAGAAGAGATGTAGATGTCTTTGATTTTGTGACAGCTAGTGATCTTCTGCAGGTCTTTGCCAGTAAGACTGATAACAATTCATGGTGTGCCAACAGCGCAGTTCTGCTGCATATAGGGGGATTCCAATTTTTAATAAACAGCATTTAACCAGAAGAATCTCATCTTTTGGTGCATTTTACTTTCGATGTTTCCAAGCTGTCGTATGACCTTTAGACCTGGAATTCTGCAGAAAGTGCAGTGTTTCATATGAAGTCCCACTCCTTGACCAAGTCTTGACACTTGAGGGCATAAAGCAAGGGTCAGATTTCTTTACTAGCAAAAAGAACGTCACGTTCACTTTCAAAGAACATTAGAAGACACTTCAGTCTCTTTGGGGACCAACATTTTATGTTTCCCAGCAAAACTGATGGCTGGAATGTTAAATAGTCCCATATGGAGAACTGTTGTCTTGATTCATTCAGCTCATCTTTTTGTAAACGTTAATTGTTTTTTCATAAGAAAGTTCTCCCGATGTTTTCTAGAATTCTGCAGAAGTACAGCTTTAATCAAACTACACTGCAACAGAGATGCATATGCATATTTAATTTCTTCGTGACATGCCATCAGTCAATTTATAATAAAGTCATATTTCTAAGTCGTTATGTTGCAGATGGTCTTGGTTTCATCTGTCTCTAATTTCTGAGGAGAGGCCTACAGTAGAATTTATGTGACAACTTAAACATCTTCTCTCCCCAATAACTGTGAACATCCCATATTCTTTCAGCATTGCGTCGAGCTGAGTAATGCAGAGGCTTTATACTCATAAATTAATGCATTTACAGGCACTGTCATACTTCATTTTCTGTTTTCGTGGCAAACTCTTATAATATTAATCAAGAATAAATAACAGCATTTCCCAAAATTTAATGAAATTCAAGGTTAAAAAGTGTTAAATGCAAACAACTGAGCTGTTTTTACAAAATTACAAAATTTCAAATTAAGTTTTACAAAAACACATCAAACTTCCACTCTGATCAGGAATCGAATCATTGTGAAATTCTGATTTAATTTAGAAATAATTTAAAAAGTGTGGGATGAATTAAAACACATGCATTTTTGGATACACTGTATTTATTTAATTTTACTTTTTAATTGATCTATTTTTATTAAAGAACAAAAGTCATATAAATCAAGGACATCAATATCAAAGTATCGAAGTTAAAGTTCCGGTTATAATATTCATCAACAACAACAACAACAACAATTAACCATACATACATACATGTACATAACAGCATTTCTAAGGAAAAATATTTTCTAGGTTACATGAAATGTATAAATAAAATTCACAGAAATTTTCAGTGTCACTTCGGGTAATAGCAACAGTACCCTGTATGTTCCAGACATCCAGAGGACACTAAATTCTGGCTCAAACAGTATATGCTAAATGGGTTTTCATAAACCTTAACCTCAAGAACCGAACATGAAGAGATCCTATTTTTATTGAAGCAATCTGTGGGAATCTGGACACACACAAGCAGAGGCGTTATCTATGGTGGGGACATGCTGGGGCACTGCCTCAAAATAGGGTGGCCACCAGAGACAAAACTAATAACTATGAAAATCTATGGTACACTATTAAAAATGGTTAATCTTCAAATGTAAGCTTAACATTTTTTAAATGTTCATCTAATCTCATTTTGTAAGTGACTTTTCTTTATGTTTTAAAGATATTTTCTTTGGATTGTTTTACTCAAAAGAGAATATAGGAAAATATAACTTGATTAATTTGTTTCCTGCTAGCTAAATTTCACATATAAACAAAAATCTGGTTCTAAACCTCTCTTTTCTTTATTCAAAATGGATCTAGACAAGTACATGGAAACTATTTAAAACTCTGTTAATCCTAAAGTGAAAACTGCATCTCCGTATTCATCCTGTGTCCTCTTAGGTTGTACATTTATTACAGTTTTTTTGTTAACCTGGCAACACATCGATTACGAAAATATGCATGGTTTAAACTCCAAAAAAACAAAAAACAAACAAAACAACAACAACAAAAACATGGTTACTATAGTAAAACCTCGGTAATCTTAAAACAGTGTAAACTGCATCTCTATATTAATTCTATGTGTCCTCTTAAGGTGTACATTTATTACTTTTTTATTAACTTGACAACACATCCCTTATGAAAATTAACCATGGTTTTTACCAAGAAAAACCCCACATGGTTACTGTAGTTAAACCATGGTAACCACAAATTAACCATGGTTTTGCTACACCAACCATAGTTTAACTATAGTTTGTAGCAAAATTGTGCTTATGCAAAAAAACAAACATGGTTACACTTTTACTATATAAAACCACAGTTAGTTTTCTTAAGGGATTTGTATTTGTGTAGGCTATACTTTCCTCTTTTTTGTTTTTATAACTCTACTGCCTTTGATGTTTTCTACTGTTTAATAAAAAAGAAATCAGAAAAAAAATTAGCGAACCCGCTCCGAAGTTCCTATCTAAATAAAATGATTCACGATGCTCCGAAGTTCCGATCTGAATCAAATGATTGATGTCACTCTGAAGTAGACGGCTGCATAGAATACCCAAGACGTGTCACTCGTATAGTTTTGAATGGGGAAAAATGCAACGCTCAATATGGTCGCTCTATTGAACGAAGCCCCGCCTTCTGAGTAAAAGAGCCAATCCCTAATCGGTAATGTCAGCGCATCACTGCAGCTGCCGTTAGAAGTCCCGGTTGCTATAGAAACAGTCAGCGTTCTGAGACGTGCGCCTAGGACTGCGCATGCGCACTGGCGGATCTAGCCTGAGAAATAAGCTTTTTTAACGGCGACCAGTTTTGGAGAATTTGATGTTTCCCCATTCAAAGAGATAGGAGTTGCACTTGCATGCCCAAGAGGCGTTTCAAAGATGGCCTCCGAGTGACATGACTTGCCTTAAAGGGACTTTGGCTGCATTGGGACTGGGATCCTGCGGGTCCCACGGGAGCCAACGCAAATCTCACGGGAGCGGGCGGTTTTACCTTTACCACAGTTTTTTCATACATAGAATGCTAAATGTTTCAATACAAGCATTTCGGTCAAATGTAATTTATGCAATATTTTAAATCTTTAACCCACGAGGTAAAGTCAGCCCATGGCAAAAGTTTAAAAGCAGCTTAATTCCGTGGAAAAAACAAGGACTTGACAACCCTGCATCCAACAGGAGCTGCAAGAGTCAGATTTGACTGGGTCAAGAGTTAGGAGAGATGACTGACAAGATCATGCTGGAGGATTTGCTGCTCAACAGATCCTGAGCTCATTAATAATGATCTTATCTTGTATGATGTGCTTGCTTTACACAGAGTGTGGGAGATCGCAAAATCGAAAGTGAAAGTAAACAGCGAGTGCTCATTCAAAAGCTATTTAAATATCCTGCATAGTGGCTCCCTGTTGCGAGATAATAATATAAAGTATTAAGGCCCTTTCACACGGTACGCGGCAGTCGCTAGTGTCTAGTTCATTCTCAATGGGAGACATGCGGAAAGCGGCAAAACGCGGGCAGTTTCGCTGGCGGCGCGGAGGCGGAGCGCAAGCGGTGCTCGTGCACCCAAAATCCTGCCGCTTCCACGGGCATGGCGCTTCGCGGCAGGCGCTGCCAAAGATAAAAATATTTGATCTTTTTGTGAGCGGCAGCGGCAGCCGTGTCGGTTTCAGCCAATCAGTGAACATTGAACTGAACTGCCTATTGAAAAAATAGAGGAGAAGTTTGTTTTAAGTGTAATAGCCTAGATTTCCCAGAACTGTATGACCCATCTAAAATCTCATACAGAGACATAAATAAAATTATATTCAATTCAGTCGTAACCTCACGGATATGCTCTTTAGGCAAATCATCAAAAACCACTTCACTTGTGCCAAACGAAAAAAAAAAAGGTTAATAATGACAACAATTAATGGCAGAATGACACAAACACACATTTCCGTTATATTTTATTTAGTTTTTAGTAAATACAAAGGTGATGTTGACAACTGTAACTATGGCAACGCCTGCTCTGAGACCGCAACGCGACCGCCGCCTCAACTGCACAAAACGCTTCCACTACAAGAGAAAGCGGCAGCCGCGCGGCGATTCCACCGCTTGCCGCGTCCCGTGTGAAAGGGCCTTGAGAATGCTTGCAGGAGCAGGCGGGGACCGGTGTAGTGCCGAAATTTGCACCCTGCCAGATTATGCACCCCCTAGTATTGGTAGGTTTAGGAGTAGGTGTGGGGGAGGGGTTAGGATTAGGGGTGGGGTTGGGATTAGGCAATCAGGTAGCGACTTCAACGAGGGGGTGCATAATCTGGCAGGGGTGCAGAATTCGGCACAACACCGGGACACACACATTGTAGGAGCGGTCAGAAATTCAGTGGGAGCAGGATTAAGAAAACAGTCCCGCGCAGGCCTCTACTCCAAAGTCCCGATCTGATTCA